GGGACAGGGATGAAGCCCTTGATGGCATATGAATATATGATTCCTAGACAAGGATATCCAGTCAGAAAAAATAGCTTGATCCCAGTCACATTCGTATCAATAGAAACTGTTTTACCTTTAGCAATGTAAGTGGAGAGAGATGGTTGTAGGTGACAGCTAAACGAGGTCGGAGAACATCACCAGTCAGTTCATTGACATCCAAAATGTGGAGGGCAGAGCTTTCATGCAGAGATGCTGATTTACATGTGCAGGGGTACTTTCACTCTGGTTTTAAACCTAAGCCTTACCTTCCGAATTTCCAGACATTGGGGCTTTTCCTCATAATAATACAGTAGTATTGTTATACCTGGCATTTTGTGATAGAGCTGCAGATATAGCAGATCAGAGCTGCATCTTGTGATGTCTGAGCTCAAGTTTGTCTTAGGCAGCATAACTGCGAAGATTTTGTATGGATACTTCGGTGAAAAATATAAAACACCTGGATTGCTTGTGGATAAAAACTGGATCTGATAGCTTCAGTGATTCCTTCCTGAGTTCCTGTAACTCATTTCTATTCTGGCCTTTGTCTCTTAATGTTTTTCAGCTAGGAATTACCTAGAATTGTGGATACCTCTCTTCAGTTTTTTTCTTTTCTCTCTCTGTTGCATGCTAGTCTTTTAATAACCCTTTCTGACAGTCTTCCTTTATACCTGTCTGTACTGTAGAGATGTGGCCATAGTAATGGGAAGGAGAGGATAAAGAACATAAAACCTCGACTCATTTTCTTGCATGTTCCATCAGTGTGGCCTGAGTGTGGGTGCCGAATGCACAGCCCCTTCTGCGGCAGCGTTACGCTCCCTCTGCACACGGAGTATCTGTTAACAACACGTGTAATACGGTGCTGGTGCCGAGTAGGAGCTGCACGGACCGGTGCTGGCTTCATGCCGGCAGGGGTTTTCCCCAGCAGTGGCCTCTGTTTGGGCAAAGCCCCTCAAAATACTGTTCAGGTGGCTGGCATGTGCTGTTTCCCCCTGCGGCTGCTGCCCGTGTTTCACAAGCTCCTGCCTTTGAGGCTGCAGCCCCAGCTCCCTTCTGAGCCAGGATTGTCACTGCCTGTTTGTTGAGGCACCTTTCGAGCCAAAATCGACTGCTGTTACAAAATCAGCAACGGAGCCAGCTCTGCCAGTGTCGGTGATGTGTATGTTGTTTTCACTGTTCAAATATTGGTAACTACCAGAAGCAAGATATGGGACAGTGTGGTCCAGCAGACTGTCGTGCATTGCAAACTACATGTCTATGACTGCCTTCGCTTCTGGAACTATGTTGCTTCTGTTTTGCTGACATCACCCATAGATTAGCATGTTCCAATCGAGTTGCTGTGTTCTGGAGGGAAGAGCAAGAAATAATTGTATAGAAAGTCCTTGGACAGCTGTGGTCTTCAGGTGTTAACTCTATTTTGGTAATAGCATTGCCATAAGAGAAGATTAAAAGTCACCGTGCAAATACTTTTGGTTTCCTTTATTGTGTTCTCTGGATGCAAATTCAGGCTAGTACTTCAAATACAGGAAGGAAAGCTAAGTAAAAAGTTGTAAAATGTCACCCCTTCATATTTAACATATGTTGGAGTGACTAAAATGAAACAAAGCTAAACAACTCACTGTGAAATTAAACACAGCTGCCTTTTTTTTTTTTTTTTGCATAGCTGTAAGAAAAAATGGGGAAATGCAAAGGATCCCTTTATAACGAATAGGTTAGAACAAGGTTAGTAACAATTTGCTTTTAATTCAGTGCATTAACAGATTGATCTCTATGACGTTCAGCAGTCCTGGGTCTAAATGGAGCCTTTTGTCTTGGGTGAAGTTTTCATCAGTGAGAAGGTTTATGTTTCAGAGGGCCATGTCCAGCAAGCTACTTGTGTAACCAGGCAAAAAGTTAATTTGATTGAGAATGATGCTGTTCGTTTTCATTTTGTGCAAACGTGATTGTTTCAATATAGTTACTTGGTTGCTCATTCGTGCACAGGCGTAAGTTCAGGGGCCTGTGGAAATGCATCCATTTTAAACATATTTTTTCTTTCCTCCACCTTTTGTGCAGGCTTAGTGGTTGCACTAAATAGCTAAAAATCCTCAGGGGTTTAAAGAATTAAAAGGGAACAATTGTTAAGGTGCAGGAAGGTCTGAAAAGTCTTGAAAATATGACAGGAGGTAGATGCTGAAGGACCTGCTTAGTGAACTACAGCCTCTCCTGTTACAAGTATAAATATAACTGTGTGTGGCAGACGGGTGGGTTGGTAGGTATGTTATAGCTGGGGGAAAAAAAAAAGAAACAAGAGATCTAGTGATGGCTAGCCGGAAGATTTGCTGCTGGGCGGTTTGGTGAAGCCAGTGGGAAGATGCTTTCTTTTTAAGGGTTGCAAATCTATTTCTCTGGCCACGTTACAAGATCGGTGCTAGTTTTCATTTCTCTTTAGCTGGACTCTTCCCACTGGTCCCTCTAAGTGACCTGTTCCTTCACATTCTTCTGTTTCTCTCAGGTAATGAAAGGTTCAGGACAGAGGTTTTCCTGCGTCCCCCATAGTCACCGCCTGGTGCTGCCCTGAGGAGAAGAAGCAGCTGGAAGCTGGGCACTGCGCTGAGGAGAAACATCAGGCAGGCAGGTGCTGCCCTGAGGAGAAGCAGCAGGAAGGTGGGTGCTGTCCCTTGGCTAGGGGACAGTGGCGTGAGGCTCATCGCACGGCCTGCTGTGCCTCACTGCGCCCGCTGCCATGGAGACCCTGTCCCAGGACTCTCTGCTGGAGTGCCAGATCTGCTTCAATTACTACAGCCCCCGCCGGCGGCCCAAGCTGCTGGACTGCAAGCACACGTGCTGCTCAGTGTGCCTGCAGCAGATGAGGACCAGCCAGAAGGACCTGCGTTGCCCCTGGTGCCGTGGGATCACCAAGCTGCCACCAGGTTACTCCGTGTCGCAACTGCCCGATGACCCCGAGGTGATCGCCGTCATTGCAATCCCCCACACCTCGGAGCACACCCCTGTCTTCATCAAACTGCCCAGCAATGGGTGCTACATGCTGCCCTTACCCCTCTCCAAGGAGAGGGCGCTACTGCCGGGGGACATTGGCTGGCGGCCGCAGCCCGGTCACC